TCACCAATATATTTTCATTTCTGAGGCCAGGCCCAAGGGAGTTGTATATATAAGTAAAATGGTTGGTTTTGATTCAACTACAATCAATGGGGGAATGCAGATAGTTGAATAAACACAGTTCTCACATAAAGTTGCCACCATGAAGGTAATACCAAAACACATGCAGTTGCTTCTTTTGGTCACAACTTCTAGTTTGTTTCCCTTCATAAAATTGTACTTATGTTTGTCTTTGTGCAAATAATCTCACGGGAGAATATTATGTGTTTTGATGATGTTTCTGTGAATATGTATATGCCACAGAAAACTGTGATAAAAGTCACCATTAATTGTCAGCTTTGCAAAAAGATGTACTAAAAGCAGTCACCAAACTTCCAGGTAATTCCATTAACAAGTCCTTTCTCTTACCCCCTTCTTCTTTTTTATTTTTTATTTTTTTTATAAATGTAAGGTTGTCTGGCTTAAAAACATCTACTGTTTTAATACAAAATTTCAAATTAGTGTAGCATATTTTTATTCAATGATCTGGAGTTTTAATTTGCTAATTAATGTAAGGGGAGCTTCTTGAATAAGAATTTGTGTGAATGACAGGTTCAGAAATTCTAATTTCAGCCGTTCAATGTTATATATTGGGTTAAATATTTTTATTATTATGTGTCGTACATGTAATTCAATGATTGATATTTGAAGTCCTTAACCAATTCTTAACATAAAATCCTTAATGGAGACTTTCCCTTAATATAAGTGGCACACATATGTATTATATTATATATTGGACATGTTCTTATAGATGTAGTTGATGAACAGGTATAGATACAGTGGCTGTGGATGGACAGAAGGGAACGTTGACTGTTGTGGGGGATGTTGACCCAGTGTTGGTGGTCAAACGACTGAGGAAGATCGGAAAGACTGCACAAATTATCAGCGTCGGACCGCCAAAGCCTCCTGAACCTAAGCCTTCCTTACTCCTCCTCCCTCCATGTTGTAATCAATGTGAGCTTGTTGGTTTCAGATATGCTCCTTATGATGGCGGATTGTGCAACATTCTTTGAGGAGATCTTCAAAGTTGGTATATAATATTCATGAATAAAGTCATTCATTTTCATCAACCCTACTCAACTTTTTATATACATTTTCTTTAATATGAAAATAAATAGACTAACTTAAAATCTGTATAAATCCACTACCATCACCGATATTGTCTCTAAGTCCAATTCTATGGATAAGGTCATGTCCAACAAACCCTAGAATATATGTTTCACAACCCAATATTGATTGGACAAAAAATGATCGTGATCATTCTCGAAACGCATAGGTCCATTACTAGCACCTATTATCCCTAATTTAACCACCCAAGTCCATTTTTATAGGTAAGGTCAAGCCCAATAGACACTTCTAGGTGCAGGATTTTGTCTTAATAAGCCTAATGAGCCACCTCATGCGTTTCAATCTAATTGGGCTGTAAAACATATATTCTTAAATATTAAAGATAAAATCCCGCACCTATAATATTTAAGGGATATATGTTTCATAGCCCAATTAGATTGAACGCATGAGGTGGCTCATTAGGCTTATTAAGACAAAATCATGCACCTAGAAATGTCTATTGGGCTTGACCTTACCTATAAAAATGGACTTGGGTGGTTAAATTAGGAACAATAAGTGCTGATAGTGGACCTATGCGTTTCGAGAATGATCAAGATCTTTTTTTCTTTTCTTTTTTCCCCTTCTAATTAACAGGGATCCTAATTAAATGACTAAAATAATTTGGAACATATAAGAACATTACATGCATGACTTCAACAATATAATATTTTCAGATGGGCTAGATCTTAATGTGGGTCTTAGAGCATCCACAATGACTCCCTAAACTTTTCAAATACTTGTACTCCTACAGCTTAAACTGTTGTTACAAGATTTAGGTTTGTATTGAGTCAACTAATAAAGTTATTATGTGTTAATCAAGCTGTGCTTGATACTGCTCATAATCTGGTGCAGTACGATTAGACGAAACATGTTGATAGTTTCTTTATTAAGGAGAAGTTGGAGGATAAAATTGTTGAAGTGCCTGCAATCAGGACAAAAGACCAGTTAGCTAATATACTGACTAAGGCAGTATTGAGTCATGTTTTTTTCAAAGGTCTTGGACAAGTTAGGTATGTGTGATATCCATGCACCAACTTAAGAAGGAATGTTAACTTTTGTATTTTGGGTTGTAACCCTATGTATATATTCCTACCGAAATAGCCGAAATAATATAACGAAATTAGCCGAAATAGTATTCTTCATCTAATCCTTGTTAGACCAAGTCCTACTCCTACTCTGCCTACGGTTTCAAGAGTTTGTGATCAAGTCAACTTGCTGTCCACCAAGAGTTAGTGTTGGTTAAGACTCTTGTAAATATCTCATTCCGTGTAAATCTAAATGTGTTGTTTCTGGTATTGTTTGAATTTCTAATAGCCTTGTAAATAGGGATTTCAGTTCCCTAATGTAATCTTGAATGAAGTATAAATACATGCAGCCCTTACTGATTGGGGAATGCAATTGAGATCACATATCATTCTCTAAGACTTTCATGGTATCAAAGCCCTAGCTAGTCTACACAGAACACATATTTTTTTTTTTTTTTTTTTTTTCTAGCAACAGTGACTCCACCCAAACTATCAACACCACTCTCCCAAATTCCACCATGAACCCCTTCTCTTCCTTCACCTCAGTTGTAAACATTAAGCTGGATCGTACCAATTATCCTTTGTGGTTGGCTCAGATCTTACCTATTCTCAGGAGTCGGGACCTAATGGGTTATGTTGATGGAACCATTGTTTGTCCTTCCCAGCAGCTTTCTGGAAGTACAACTACCAATCCTGCTTACACAACCTGGGTACAGTACGATCAAATGATACTCAGCTGGATTAATGGCTCTCTCACGCCGTCTGTGCTCTCGGTCGTGGCCAGCAAGAGGACCTCTAGTGCTACTTGGGAGGCTCTCGAGCAACGTTATGCTTCTACGTCCCAGAATCGCATCTTGTTTCTGCGGAATGAACTTCTACAAACCAAAAAAGGTGATTTGTTGGTTGCTGATTATCTTGATAAAATGAATGCTATTTCTGATAACCTTGCCCTAGCTGGCAAACCTGTGGGTGATGATGAACTTGTCCAGATTATCTTGAACAATCTTGGACCTGCTTATGAGTGTAGGGGACTTTTTCTTCCTGCAGCTAACAGGCTGGGCTGCTGCAAAAGGTGGACTGAGGAGATTGCCCCTTTTTGTCTAGGTTCGAAAATTAAGCCCTAAAATACCTCGAAAGGGCAGCGGAACCTTAGGAGATATTTTAGATAATCTTCACCAATGAGAATAATAGTGACTTGCAGATAATTTTGGCATGCTTACAGATGGTTTTCAGGCTCAGCATGAGTGGCATGAGGCATGGGGAGCAAAACCAACATGGGTTTAGCACTAAGAGAGAGATTAGGCTTGGTTTATGAGGAATGAAAGTGTTTAAGTAAGGAATGAGGTGTTTTGTGAGGAATTTTGGCTAGAGAAAGAGAAAAAGAGAGGCAGGGTTCTTCCGGCAGCTGCCAGAAGAACAAATTGGAGAAGAAGATGAACAGTGCACGAATCTAAGTTTTGCAAGATAGAGAGAAAAGCTTGCTCTCTGCAGGTTGTGAGTTGTTTTTGTTGGGTAGGGGAAGGCTCAATTTATAGCTGCCGGAAATCACCATTTTTCAAGAAACCCTAATGGCTCCTTCTTACTTTGGCTGAGATTTTCTTCCTTTCTCCTCCCCTTCTCTGACTTCCCTTTCTTGGCAAAGATGGCTTCTGTCTATCTTCATGAATTTAGGAGATTTTGGGGGGCTCAACATCCCTCTTTCCCGCGGTTGTGCAATGAGGGCTTCCACTCTTAGTTTGCTGTTTTTCTTCCTTTTCTTTCCTCTTCCTTGGCTGAATCTGATGAAGGAAAGGAGGTGCAAATGTATGCTGGTCCAAGGGATGCTTCTGACAGCATGCAGGATGGTATTCATCGGTTCTTTGGATGTCTTTGGCTTGGGACTGGTTTCCAGCAGCTTACTTAAGGAGCCTGCCATCTACTCCTTCACGTGTTCTCTGTTTTTCAAAAAAGGCTGAAGCTCTTGTGGGCCTTTTTTGGGTTTTTCTAAGGGCCAAGATGGCTTTCTTAAGCAAATGGGCTTATTGGGCTTGATTTGGGCTTATTATTATTTTGGTTGGGTTATCTCTTGGCTAGGTTATTTTTGCTTGGGCTTTTGGGCTATTTTTCTCTCTTGTGCTTACCCACATGTTTGGACCTAAGAAATGGGCTTGAGTCTCGAGGCTCCCAAGCAACCCGAGACTTTCCATTTCTTGGTCCATCAATGGGCCTCATGTTGATTTATTACCATCCATGCCACAACCCACTCAAGCAAGCCCCGGGTCTTTTTTGAGTGGCTTGGGCCCACCTAGGCTTGTAGCGTGGTTGGGTGCGAGATAACGGCATGGCATGTTGCTCGGCATATTTTACCTTATCGCCCTTGGGAAGGATTGTTTTAATTTTTTAGCATGATTATATTTTATCATAGCATGATAATTTGTTTATTTAGCGTGGCGTGTGGGTTATAACTTGCATGCGATAGATCCCTTTTTTCTTTTCCCTTATGGAATATTGTATTGGGCTGATAATTGTTCGGGCCCAATCCATGGATTTTTTGGGCCTCAACATTAGCCCCCTTAATTATAAGGGCCATGAACAGGTGCTGGAATGGGCCGAATAATTAAAACCCAACCCAAAAAATCAGATTTGTATTTGCATAGGACTCTTCTTCTTCCCGCGTGCAAAATGACGGCGTGCCATGATTGATCCCGGTGGTTACTTGCAGTTTCCAACGCCAACTGCCTTCCTCTCGTTATTTTATTATTTTCCTCCCTTTTATTTCTCTTTTCTTGCACCAGACATTAATTTCCAAACTTTCCTTCGCTTTTCACGCTCCAGACCAAAACTTCTCTCCAACTATTTTTCTTGCGTTCTCTCTTGCCCTTCCACGAAGCCAGACCAAGGAAGAAAGTGCAATCGGGTAGGAATCACCCATCTCCAGCGGCTGGGAAGAAGACCCAAGTCGAACCCAACCCCATCGTTCCATCTTCGTTCCAAAGGAGCCCGTTCGTTGCTGCTGGAAAGGTCCTCCTCTGTGCGAATTTTGCCTTCAAATCCCTGATTTTCTTCTCTTTTTGGTGCATTCGACGTCATCCCTTGGAAGATTTAACAAGGTACCCTCCTTTTTCCAGTTTTCCTTTAGATGGATTTGGAGAATTTGTGGGTTTCTCATACCCATAGATGTTGTCTTTTGTTTTGGCAGCCAAATACCAAAACCTCCCCTTTTATCCATCTTGTTTCCGCTGCAGCAATAGTGCTCACGGAGTGGGTGCTAGCAAGGAAGGGTCTGCGCCATTGTCTAGGTTTCTTCCTTCGTTGATTTTGCTCGAGCTGCTGGAAAGGTAATTTTTTTCTTTCTCGTTGGCTTGGGTTTCTCCCCCTTCTTTTCATTTTTATTTTGCACGGGCTTCCCCTTTTGTGTGTAAAAGGCTGATTTGGCATGACGTGCTTTCCCTTTGTTTATTTTTTGTGCAGGTACACGCATTTTGGGCATAGGTAGGTGCTGGAAACCCTTGACATTTTGCTGCTGGAACCTTCAAACCCTTCAGTCTTCTAACTTAGACTTTGGCAATAACTCTGCTAACTCTGAGTATTTTAGAATAGGTGTAGACTGATGCTTGGCCTAGGCTCTCTTTTTTCTTTTCTTGAGAACACATGCTTGATCGATTATGGAATTCTGCGTGTGTTGCCTGTGGAGGAAAATAATTGACAGAGTGCATGTTTTGTACTGCCTGGCTGAATTTTTTTTATTTTTATTTTATTCTGAGAAGGGACTTGCTTGTCCTGCTTGTTGATCACAAAGCGAGACTCTTACTTGTCATGAGCTTGAATTTTAAATTGCATGTTTGCTTGGATAAACTCAACTAGCCACGTATTTTACGTGTGCTGATTCTATTTTGCTTCTTTCCATATTTCTATGCGCAGGTACCCATTATGGCATCCGGTAATCCACCATTTATCATAAGGGATCATCTTTACTCCGTAGATGACAGGTTGAAGAGAGGGAGACCTCCTCCTTTGCTCAAGGGTGCCGACGAGGATGTAATCATTGATGAAGAACCAGCGCCAGAAGCTACTTCAGTGATTGATCCTGCATCCGTATCAAGGTGCTGCATAGAAAGGGGTCTGTTTCCGGCAGTTCCTTTGTTCTTTCAATATCCCTGCAGCATCAGCAAGGGTTGGTCGGAGTGGGTTGATGCTGAACTGAAGAGCCCATCTACCCGTGATATCCTAAGCCGGGCAGGCGTGTTGGAAGCCATCTTTGCTTCTAAGGCTTGCGACATCCATATTGAAGCCAAGACGCTTCGACACTTGGTTAGACGGTGGAGCACTGAGACGCACACTTTTATTTGTTCGTGGGGAGAGTTCACTCCCACGCTTGAGGATGTAGCTAATATCTTCCATCTCCCACTTTGCGGCAGCCAAGATCCTTTCCACATTGCATTAACCGCGGAAGATGGGCCAAAGCTTGAGATTTTGCGGAAGGGTGCCCCGACCTCTCCTAGTACCTCTCTAAGATTTAGTAATTGGATTCAGTTTTTCGGGAACAGTGATCGAGACGAGCCGTGTCGCCTTGCTGCGTTCGTGTCCTTGTGGCTCGGGAGGTTCCTCTTTTGTGATTTTTCTCAAGACTGCTTGCATGGGAGAGTGTTTCCGTTGGCTTTGGCAATAGCACGAGGTAGCATGATCCCTTTAGCCCCCATGTTCTTGGGCACTTATATCGCTTGCTTGACCAGATTCAATTTCTTGAGAAGGGGGCGGCCGGAACCATGGCTGTGGAGACTTTTGTAAACTCCAGTTTTCTGCAGATCTTTTTATGGGAACGCTTCAAAGGGATAGAGGTATCTCCACTCCCTTATTCAAAGGCTGAGTCACTGGTTGCTTCGGACGAGAATTCCTACGTGCCGGGTAGTCTTCCTCTGATCTGTAGATGGTTCCGTCGCATGCAACGGAAGGGCCAAAACTTTTTGGAGCTGCTGGACGATGTTGAGCAATTTATTTTCCGTCCCTATTGTGCCTCATCAGAGGGCTTTAGAAGTATGCCCCTCTATGCTGATTCTGCTGCTTTAATGGAGGCCCTGGCCATGCCAACACAAGGTTGTCGGTTACGCAGAGAGGCATTGTTGAGTGCCGCATGCCTCCCTCTGCCCACATTCGGTGATGACCACTTGGAGACTTCTGTGCATTATTCCCCTTACCGGGTTAGACGACAGCTTGGGTTTGACCAAGGTGTGCCCTCTCGTCCCAACCATGGAGATTCCTTGAGCTTGCACAGGGTTTTCTGGACTGGTGACAGCGTGCCGGGAGACGGCAGGCCTCTTGCCCTTGCTCTGGCCAGCCGAAAGCGCGTTGGTGGTCTCTCAAAGGCCTACCAAAATTATTGGAACCGCTGCTTTGCCTCGCTCAGCCGATTCCATGCTGCCCACTGTGATAGATTGATTCCCACCATCATTCATCATGCCCGTTTAGTGTCGGAAGAGAAAGCGATTTCCTTGAGCGAGAAGCGAAATCTGCCTTTTATCTCCAAAAGCGGAGAGATTGTTGGTGACTTTTCGAAGCTAAAGCGGAAGTTGGAAAAGTCGGGTTCTCATAGCGCCGGGAAAAGTGTTGCACATGGAAACGCGCGAGGAAAGCTGCAGCGCCGAGAAAAGGCAAGCTGTAAAAGAACCGAAAAGGTTCATCCCCAAGGTAGCGGCAGGTGGTCCTCCCAGCTCAAGAAAGGTTGCCTTGCCCGAGTCCTTACAGCAGCAGCCTACAGCTTCCGGCAGCAGCGAGCGAGCAGCTCTAAAAGCTTCATCTCCTCACAGTAAGTATTGCTATTTGTTTGCTCCCTTTGTTCCCCGCTCTTTGCGTATATATAAGTATCCCTTTCATCTTATTTTGCAGGTACTTCCCAAAGTAAAGGCAAGGGTAAGGGGTTTTCCGTGACCCCGAAACGTCGAAGCATGCGTATTCTTGAAACGCGGTTTGCTAATACCCGAAAGAATAAGGGTGAAGACTCGGGACCCAAAGTAGTGGTGACGGTTGATGATAACAGTGATGATGATAGTGATGACGATGGCACTGCGGGAACTGAGGCTAACATTCATGAGCAAGAGAGCGCTCGCGATACGAGTGGCATGGATGAGGACTTTGATGAAGGCCAATACGATAGTCACGACGAAGACACCTATCCGGCTTTCGGCACTAGCTTGGGGGAGTTCGATGACTCAGACACTACTCCTGCTTTGACTGGCGATCATGGACAGCGTGTCGATTTTGAACTGGTATCAAATATCCTTCTTGCTTGTTTTGCTTGGAATATTGACATTGCATGCTGCCCGTTGTGTCCTCTAGTTCATACTCCGTCTTTCTTCTGCAGGTCGTGCCCGCCATTGAAGGCACGATAGGTGCTTCATCGGAGGCTGATTTTGCCCTTCCCACTACTGTCGCTGAAGTTGTCCTGAGCCTTCCGGCAGTGCAACCTCCTCCTTCTCCTAACCCATGTACTCCTGACATGGCTGCTGATGCCTCTCCACTACTTCCAACAGTTCCTCCTCCTATTTCTCCAATTCCGAATGCTCCTGACATAGCTTCCGGCACCGCTCAACTCCTTCCAGCAGTACATTCCCTTACTCTCCAATCTCGAGCACACCAACATAACTTCCGGCACCGCTCCACCTCTTCCAGCAGCGCATCCCTGTGCTGAGATGATTGACAATAGTCATAAGAATGGTGATGCTTTTATCGCAGGTTCCTCAAAAGGGCATTCATTCGAGAAAAGCATGTCTTGGCAAGATTGGGAGAACTCCTACACGGCATTCAAAGCCTTCTTTGATGGTGGTGTTACCATTCTTAGATCCATTGATGAACTTCTTCCGCTTTGCCACAGATTCGATGGTTATGCAACATTCCAAGGCGCCCTTGTGTATCCAGAGACGGTTGGAGCCTTGAAAAAGTTCATGGACAAATACGGAAGTTTGCTGGAAGCTACAGATGTCACCTCCTCTTTCTCAAGGGGTACTGCCCTTCGAGCGCTTGGCTTAGTACTTCATGGGATGGACACCATGCAACTCCTTGATATTACAGATCATAAACTGCTCTGTTGGCGAGATGCAATATGCGAGGCCATGATTCTGGGCTTTCCTGTGGAATTTCTCCTTAAACTCGTGAAGAGCTTAGCACGTGCCGTTTTGGAGCACGGGCCATTCGTAGTATGCAATTATCGCATGATTCTGATGAAGTAAAAGCTGCTGCAGATGCCTTGAATATTAAACAACAGGAGTTGGAAAACCAGCGCCGGGAGATGCATGCCCTTCTTCTTGCTAAGGGTGTTTCTGTTGACAGCGCTGAGTGCGTGACGGAGGCAGCGGCCAGAATATCTCCTGGGGCTTCCTTTGTTCTTTTCGGACATTCCCCATAGCCTACAGGTACTCAGCTTATCCATTATATATTTTTTATTACGTATTCCAGCAGCAGCCATTTTTTTTGACACACATTTTCTTTTATCTTTTGCAGATTGCCCATCCTTAGCTTGGAGACCATTTAGCTTGGCACATGATCCTGCTTTTCTTTGTGACTCAAGGGCGCGTGAACCTTCAGCATATGCAGTTTTATTTTGCTTTGTTTGTAGTGTTGTTTTTTTTTTTTTTGAGACTCTAACGACTACGTCGTTATGCCTTTGTAATTTTGATATTAAACTACTGAAGCTTGTATGAATTTCCGGATGCTTGAGGCATGTTGCATATTTCCTGGTGTAGATATGTATATGTACTGCTTTGTTGGCCAGAATTGTCTTTATGGACTGCTTGAAATTTTTGACAGGTTGGATATCATTGAAAACAGGGTATATGCTGTCAAAATTTTTTTAAAAACCCAAATCTTCGAAAGCTTCTTTTGCATGGCTTATCCAGATTCTAAACTTGACAAAATAGCTTCCCACCTTTCCCAAAGGGTCGAACCAACATGTGCATGATTTCTAGCCGGGCTTTATAAAGCTTCCAGGTGTTATATCGTATCGTTCCAGCATCTCAGAATTGCATGTTTCTTTGTAACATGCCTTATGCTATTATTATTCTATTTTTTTTTGCTTAAGCGTGATGCTTGGGGACCCCATCTAAGTGACTTTGCCCGGCATGTTTTACTGCTAAGTAGCATGTTATATATATATATATGGAAAATTTGATAAAGGATTAATAATAGTAAGGTTTTGGAGACACAATATATATATTTTTCAAAATATTCCTTCATCTTCATTGCAAAAGCCCTTGCTACCATAATGGTGCATCATACAAAGTGTCTTTTTTCCAAAACGTGAAAATAAGACAGAAGGAGTCTATTTTTTTTTGACAGAAAGAAAATACAAAAGTACTAGGCATAAAGTTAACTTAGCAGTAATAGAGCTTGAGCCACTTCCCATTGACGGGGTCGGTCAGCGTGCCTTCCTTGACAGAGACCAAGCGATAATAGCCGCTGCTGTGAACTCTTTGACTGCAAACGGGCCTTCCCATTGTGGCGCAAACTTGGAAGGTCCCGACACCTGTCTTCTCACATGCTCCGCAACTTTTAGCACGAGGTCTCCTTGCTTGAAAGCGCGAGGCTTGACTGTCCTGTTATAGGCTTGAGCTACAGTTCTGTGGTACAACGCTGTCCTCTTTTCGGCTACCGTTCTTTTTTCATCCAAAGCTTCAAGGTCCAGCAGGCGCCATTCCGAGCATGACTTTGTATCCCATTCGAGGTCGTTAACAGCTGCTGTTCTGGCAGTGGGGATGGTAATCTCTACTGGTGAAATGGCATCGGACCCGTACACAAGTGAATATGGCGAGAAACCTGTGGCACTTCTTGAAGAGGTGCGGTAAGCCCACAAAGCATCCGGCAGGTGAACACTCCAACCTCCTTCATACTCATAAACCATTTGCTTAGGATCCTCAATAAAGTCTTGTTTGTGGCTTCCGCTTGACCATTTCCTTGTGGATAATAAGGCGTGGAGCGGCGATGCTTGATACCATAACCACTAAGTGTCGAGCTTACTTGCTTATTGACAAACGGGGTGCCATTGTCAGTGACAATCTTGTATGGGATCCCAAATCTGCATACAATATTTTCACGGATGAAATTGGCAACGGCAGCTCCCGTGGCCTTCCGCAAGGGAACCGCTTCTACCCACTTTGTAAATATTCGGTGGCCGTGAGGATCCATATGTAGCTGTCGGATGGTGGATGAATAGTCCCGATCAAATCAAGCCCCCAAGTATGGAAGGGCCAAGGGGTGCGCATGTCTTGCAGCAGCGTGGGAGGCTTATGGCTTAAATTGGCATGAACTTGACATGTGTGACACCTCTTCACAAAGTCGTATGCATCATTCTTCATTGTAGGCCAATAATACCCAACACTCAGCAGCTGCCGGTAAAGCTTCTTCATTCCTTGGTGTTCACCACATTCTCCAGCATGAATCTCTTGCATGACTTGCTGTGCCTCAGACTTTCCCAAGCATTTTAATGGCTCACCATTAAACCCCTTACGGTAAAGAGTTGACCCATCTATGAAGTATCTTTTCATTGTCCTTTTGAGCTTGCGTGCATGCTTGGGATTGGTTGGCAAGACTCCATTGATGAAGGATGCCAAGTATGGAGCCCTCCAATCCTCCGCAAATGAGACGGTGAATGATTCCTCGGTGGAAGGTATTTTTGCACACTTGGGACAATTGGCTTGTATTTCAGCTGCTTGTTTCCTCATTTCTGGCCAGTAATAACCCTTGCGCTGCAGGCGCCGGTACAAGCTGATTATTGGCTCCAAATTGCAAGTGACCTCATGTACCTCTTGAAGCTTCTCCTCTGCTTCTGTTATCCCTATGCAGCGGGTCAAAATACCTCCCGGAAGGCGTCTGTACAGTTCCCCAAAGATGATCGCATAATCCTTCAATTCTTTGATGTTGCTTCCTTTGCCTATTTTTTCTTTCACAAGTTTCCTCCAGTCATCCTCTTCCAGCCGCTCCTCTTGAGCCATTGCTTCAACAACTGGCGTGTCCCTCTTGATTACTGCAATATTGGGCTGTTCGTCAATAAATGAGAGCCTCGACCCCAAAGTGGCCAACGCATCAGCATATCTGTTAGTGACTCCCGGGATATGTTCCAACACAACTTGTTTGAACGAACGAACAAGCCTTTCAGCAGCTGTACGATATGGTGCCAACGCTGGTTCCTTCACCGCGAAATTTCCTTGTAATTGACTCAGCACCAAGTTTGAATCCCCAATAATTTTAATTCTTTCGACACCCATTTCCCTTGCTGTAGACATCCCTGCAATAAAAGCTTCGTACTCTGCCGTATTATTCGTGCATGGGAAATTTAGCTTAAACGAGAGGGCCGTAGCTTGCCCCTCGGGATTGACAAGCACCACACCTGCCCCTCCACTCTTCGATGTAGAAGACCCATCGAAGTAGAGGGTCCATGGTTCTGCCTCCGTGACAACAGCAACCATTTCCGGCAGCTCCCCCAGAACTTCCTTAGAGATTGTTGATTCTTCAACTTCGGGAAATAGAGCCAACATGTCAATAACGGCCTGCCCTTTGATGGCTTTTGGAGTAGTGCAGGTGATATCGAACTCGGACAGCTGTAGCAACCAACGTGCAAGGCGTCCGGATAATATCGGCCTTGTAAGCAAATATCTTACGGGATCAGACTTCACCATGAGATGTAGCTTGTGAGCAAGGAAGTAATGTCGCAAGCGCTGTGCAGCATAGACAAGAGCAAGGCACAAAATTTCAGTTTTCGGATATCTTACTTCAGACCCCCTTAGTTGCCTACTTACGTAATAAATAGGACTTTCTTCCCCACTGTGATCATCTTGAGCAAGTAAGGCCCCAACCGCTGTGTTTGTTGCAGCCAAATAAAGTTTGAGAGGAAGCCCCGGAATAGGTGCTTTCATAGTGGGCAGCTTGGCGATTATTTGTTGCACCTTCTTGTAAGCTTCTTGGCACTTCTCACTCCATTCATACCTCTTGCCTTTCTTGAGCAATGGAGTAAAAGCACTCATGGTGGCAGCAAGACCTGGGATAAAGCGCCGAATATATGATAATCTTCCCATAAAGCTTTTCAATTCTTTTGGGCTTTTAGGCGGTGCAAGAGAATTTATGGCTTTAGTCTTCTCAGGATCCACGTCTATGCCACGCTGATGTACTTGAAACCCCAAGAATTTACCAGATGAAACCCCGAACGCACACTTCTTTGGATTCATCTTCAAACTGTACAGCCGACACCTTTCCAGCACTCTCCTTAAAACTTCTTGATGGCCTTCTCTGGTTTTGGACTTCACCACAAGGTCATCCACATAATCTTCAACTTCTTTTCCCATCATGTCGTGAAACACCGCTGTCATAGCTCTTTGGTAGGTGGCGCCAGCATTTTTGAGGCCGAATGGCATGACCGTATAATAAAAATTCCCATACGGTGTCCGAAAGGCTGTCTTTTCAGCATCCTTGGGAGACATCTTGATCTGATTGTAGCCACTAAACCCATCCATGAATGACAACAAGCCTTGACCCGAGGTCGAATCAATTAAGATATCCATGTTTGGCAGCGGGAACTCATCCTTTGGGCAAGCTCGGTTGAGATCTCGATAATCCGTGCATATTCTGATCACACCGGTTTTCTTCTTCACAGGGACAATATTCGCTAGCCACGTAGGATGCTTGATTGGTTTAATAAATCCGGCAGCTAACAACTTTTCAATTTCCACCTTGATTTGCTTCTCAACTTCAGGATGAAAATTCCTTCTTGCTTGCACGATAGGTTTTGTACCAAGCTCAATATTCAGAGTATGACTTACTAAGCTTGGGTTCAGACCAGGCATTTCCTCATAGCTCCAAGCGAACACATCTCGAAATTCCTTTAGCAAAGATATCAAGGCCGCCCTCTCCTCACTTGTTAAATGAACACTTATGGAAATGGGCCTTGGGGCAGAGGGATCCTCACTCAAATCAATTGTTTCCAGCTGCTCAGCTACTGCTGACGATCCATCTTGCATGTGTCTGGGTGCTGCCATTGGCTCCTGGAAAGCACAAGGCAAGGGTGCCTTGTGGTGGAACTCACACAGCTATTTGTTTGCATTACTTTTCCTCCATACTCGGGGCTTTCCCGTAAGACACGGTCAAGCCCCCAACCCCGTCATAAGCGGTACACGATACGTCCATCGGGCAGCGTCACCTTTGAGCATTGGGGATGATCATAGGCATGGTTGTTGACTTCCGAGTGCCTCTTTCTTTCTCGATCAACAATGGTGATGAGCTCCTCATTGCTTAAATCACGAATTTCAGTCCACGAAGGAAGGTAGGTCCCGAAATCCTTGGATGGATTGCTTCCAGCACCTGTGCATTCAGTGTAGAATTCTGCTTCAGAGTAGTGAGCTTCATCTTTGTTGAAAGGTGCTTGGTTTCCAGGTATGCGTAGCGGCCTCAGCCCAATCCTTCCTTTTACGCATTGATGATAGGTAGAAACCACAAGCTTATGCTTGTTGAGCCATGGCCTTCCAAGCAAAGCATGGTAAGCCACATCCACATCCACAACATAGAACTTAGTAAGTGACCGAATTGGCCCAACCTTCAAATGTACTTGTAGATGCCCGACTGTGACCTCACTCTTATTCCCGAAACCACTGATGTTTGTTTGTGATTGGACAATTTTGGACAATGGGATACCAGCTGCCGTAAGCACAGACAGAGGTAATATGTTGACAGAGGAACCCGTGTCCACCAAAGCTCTCCTTATGAACACATCATTGATCTGTCCCTCCAAGTAAAGCGGCCTCCTATGGTCCGGGTATGGAACTTCCATGTCTTCGTCCGTAAAGACAATAGCATTGTCATTTCCCAAGAATGACCTTTGTGGTTGAGTTGTAAAGCATTGAGAATTAGACTCCTCAGAGATATTCATCAGGGCTACAACAGCTGCTTCTCTTGCTTGCGGCCCGAAGCCAAGTTGGTCAAAGAGTGATTTGAACTTTGGGTTTCTTTGAAGGACCTGTGAAGCTGTGGGCCCCTGTTTCATGCTTAAATAACGTTCCATCACACTTGTTTCAGCTTCCGTGATATTGTGAAATGTCACGGCAGCTGCTTCCTGCTGCTCCGATAAAGCCCCCGAGTAGCGTTCTTCCGGCATGTCCAAAACAAAAATTTCGCTGCCTGAGTTGTCACCCCATCCATCAGCAAGTGGCCATGGTGTGTTGTAACTTGAAGGCCTCGAATATTTACACCAATATGCCTTTTCCATGTTTCCGCAAGGTTCCCATATGGCTTCCGGCGGCTTTGGGTCATTCCTCCAAGGGTGGCACAATTCATCATCATCAAGTAAATCATCAGAACATGTAATGACAGCGGCTACCTCCTTTCCCCTTCGTTTTGGCAAGGGGTCCTCATCAATCGTTTGCTTCCTAGAGGGAAGTTCAAGGACTCCCTCATGTATTTTGGCGTGTAGAATCCTCCTCAGACTTTGACAGGCAGTGGTCGGATGCCCCACAAATTGATGATAACGGCAGTACCTAGGATCATTCTTTTCCTCTCGAGTAGGAACCTTGTAGGGTCTGACAGGTTTGATTACGCCATCAGCAATCATTGTGTCAAGGATAGCATGAAATTCTTCATCTTTGCATGGTAGTGGTGGATACGTCTCTCTATCCTTGCGTTTGCGTGAATTGTAGTCATTGGAGGGCTTGTCATCTATTGCTAATGTCTGATGCGCTTCCTTCTTCTCATTCCTCCAAGTCCTTTGTCCTGGTGGCCTGACGGACATGCTCGTCTTCCTCACAGCTTCCAGCAGCCGAGAAAATTGACTAATGCCAATATTCTCCAAATACACTCTATAATCTGCCACGATATTGCTGATGCAAATTTCAACAAGCGCCTCCTCGTCTTTCTCATCATAGCAATCCAATGCCAGGTCCCGGAACCTGCGTACAAAGTCCACGGGATCCTCACCATGCTTTTGGCGGGTGTTGTTGAGTTGAGTGGTGGTGACTCGTTCTTCATGCTGGAAATACTTCTTACAGAACCTGCTTGCCAGACTTTCCCAGGAATGAATAGAGCCTGGTGCCAACGTTGTATACCATGTGTAAGCACGATCGGTGAGACTCTTTGAAAATTCTCTAAGTCGAAGATTATGATCACCAGCATACGGTCCCAAGGCATCGATGAAGCGATTGACATGCTCTTTCGGGCTCCCCTTTCGTCCATCAAAGAGGACAAAGGTCGGTGCTTCATAGCCTTTAGGATATGGCTGCTGGAGTAAGCTTGATGGATATGGCGGCTGAGGAAGATACTTCCAATCTTCCTGACTTCGACTCAGCTCCTTTTCCAGCATGGCAACAACGTCCTCCTGAGTGACAAAAGATGGTCCCTTCTGCTCAGACTCCTTTCCGGCAGCCGCAGATTCCTCCTGTGGGTGCTTCTCATTCACTTCACTTGGCTTTGGAGCCGAATTTTTGAGTTCTTTTATCATCTCTGCCATCTCCCTCTGGGTGTCACCCATAGCACGAATGGCTGCAACAAGATCTGTGAGGGTAAAAGTTCCCTCACTTGCACGTTCTTCTTCTCTAGAAGAGGCATGTTGCCTTGACTCTGAGTCAGCATGGCTTGGCCCATCCTGGGAAGTTATGTTGTTGCTTCTGGTCTTCTTTCTTGGAGGCATTGATGAAGATAATGGCTTAATCCCCAGTGAAGTCGCCAATTTATGTAGGGGACTTTTTCTTCCTGCAGCTAACGGGCTGGGCTGCTGCAAAAGGTGGACTGAGGAGATTGCCCCTTTTTGTCTAGGTTCGAAAATTAAGCCCTAAAATACCTCGAAAGGGCAGCGAAACCTTAGGAGATATTTTAGATAATCTTCACCAATGAGAATAATAGTGACTTGCAGATAATTTTGGCATGCTTACAGATGGTTTTCAGGCTCAGCATGAGTGGCATGAGGCATGGGGAGCAAAACCAACATGGGTTTAGCACTAAGAGAGAAATTAGGCTTGGTTTATGAGGAATGAAAGTGTTTAAGTAAGGAATGAGGTGTTTTGTGAGGAATTTTGGCTAGAGAAAGAGAAAAAGAGAGGCAGGGTTCTTCCGGCAGCTGCCAGAAGAACAAATTGGAGAAGAAGATGAACAGTGCACGAATCTAAGTTTTGCAAGATAGAGAGAAAAGCTTGCTCTCTGCAGGTTGTGAGTTGTTTTTGTTGGGTAGGGGAAGGCTCAATTTATAGCTGCCGGAAATCACCATTTTTCAAGAAACCCTAATGGCTCCTTCTTACTTTGGCTGAGATTTTCTTCCTTTCTCCTCCCCTTCTCTGACTTCCCTTTCTTGGCAAAGATGGCTTCTGTCTATCTTCATGAATTTAGGAGATTTTGGGGGCTCAACATCCCTCTTTCCCGCGGCTGTGCAATGAGGGCTTCCACTCTTAGTTTGCTGTTTTTCTTCCTTTTCTTTCCTCTTCCTTGGCTGAATCTGATGAAGGAAAGGAGGTGCAAATGTATGCTGGTCCAAGGGATGCTTCTGACAGCATGCAGGATGGTATTCATCGGTTCTTTGGATGTCTTTGGCTTGGGACTGGTTTCCAGCAGCTTACTTAAGGAGCCTGCCATCTACTCCTTCACGTGTTCTCTGTTTTTCAAAAAAGGCTGAAGCTCTTGTGGGCCTTTTTTGGGTTTTTCTAAGGGCCAAGATGGCTTTCTAAGCAAATGGGCTTATTGGGCTCGATTTGGGCTTATTATTATTTTTGGTTGGGTTATCTCTTGGCTAGGTTATTTTTGCTTGGGCTTTTGGGCTATTTTTCTCTCTTGTGCTTACCCACATGTTTGGACCTAAGAAATGGGCTTGAGTCTCGAGGCTCCCAAGCAACCCGAGACTTTCCATTTCTTGGTCCATCAATGGGCCTCATGTTGATTTATTACCATCCATGCCACAACCCACTCAAGCAAGCCCCGGGTCTTTTTGAGTGGCTTGGGCCCACCTAGGCTTGTAGCGTGGTTGGGTGCGAGATAACGGCATGGCATGTTGCTCGGCATATTTTACCTTATCGCCCTTGGGAAGGATTGTTTTAATTTTTTAGCATGATTATATTTTATCATAGCATGATAATTTGTTTATTTAGCGTGGCGTGTGGATTATAACTTGCATGCGATAGATCCCTTTTTTCTTTTCCCTTATGGAATATTGTATTGGGCTGATAATTGTTCGGGCCCAATCCATGGATTTTTTGGGCCTCAACAATGAGATGACAGTGAACGCTGCTCAGGCACGTGATACTCCCATCACGTACCCTACGCTTGAGGCGCTCTTACTGACTACAGAAAGGAGGATGACTGAGCAAGCTGCTCCTCTTGTGGAGGCTGCCTCTGTTAATGCTTTTGTCACTGCCAGAGGTCGTGGTGGACGATTTCGTGGCAACGGACGAGGAATATTTCTAGCTGGACGTGGTGGTGCTGCTGGACGTGGTGGTGTCAATCCTCGCCCCAATTCTTATAATAACAATGTGAGACCTAATTATGCAAACAATGGTGAAAGGTTTAATGGTGCAGGTGAAAGGATTACATGCCAGATTTGTGGGAAACCAGGGCATCCTGCCCTCGATTGCTACCAGCGAATGAATACTGCGTATGAAGGAAGGGTCCCAGCCAAGAAACTCACTGCCATGGCCACCTCTCCTATTACTCTTAATCGACAAACCAATGGGCAGTGGTTACTTGATACTGGTGCCAATGCACATGTCACTCCAGATCTTCAGAATTTGGTTAATCCAAAAGAGTATAACGGTAATGAGAATGTTGGTGGAGTAGGTAATGACTCTGGAATCTCTATTTCTCATCTTGGTTCAAATACATTACGTACTAAATCTTGCTCATTTGAATTAAAAGATATCTTAAGATGTCCCACTGCCTCCACACATATTATTTCTGCCCATAGATTTACCTTAGACAATCAGTGCTATATACTTATTTTCCCTCATTTTTTCCTTGTAAAGGACCTCAAGACCCGGAAGACGCTTTTCCACGGGAGATGTGAGAATGGCTTATATCCATTTTCAGGTGGCGGTGGACAGTTTAACTACCCTATTTCAGTGTGTGTAGGCATTCGAGTCTCGGCTCAAAAATGGCATTCACGTCTAGGTCATCCTACCTCGTCTACTGTCAAGTTTTTAATTTCCAATAAGAAAGTACCAATTCTTGGTGCTTCCAATGTAACGTTTTGTCAGTCATGTCCCTTAGGAAAGAGTACTAAATTACCTTTCAGTATTTCCAAGTCTGTCTCTCAATTCCCTTTACAATTGTTGCATTCTGATGTTTGGTGTTCTCCAGTAAATTCAGTTGATGGTTTTCGTTATTATGTGTTATTCGTGGATGATTATTCTAGATATTCTTGGGTTTTTCCAATGAAAAGAAAATATGAAGTTTTTGAAATTTTTGTGAGATTTAAAGCACATGTCGAAAATATGTTCAATACTTCCATCAAAACCCTTCAATGTGATGAAGGTGGGGAATATAAAAGTCATGTTTTTCAAAATTATCTTGCATCTCACGGCATTTCACAACGATTTTCGTGTCCAAAACATCCTGAACAAAATGGTATTGCCGAACGAAAACATCGTCACATTGTTGAGTCTAGTATTGTCATGCTTTCTCATGCCCATATTCCAAATAAATATTGGGTGGATGCTTGTTTAACAGCTACTTATTTAATTAATAGATTGCCAAGTCGTGCCTTGTCCCATAAATCGCCGTATGAAAAATTGTTTGCCAAAATTCCCAAATATGAAACTCTCAAAGTGTTTGGCTGTCTCTGTTTTCCTTGGTTAGTCCCTTACACACAACATAAACTCCAACCAAAGTCAAAATCATGTGTGTTTTTAGGTTACTCACTGAATCATCAAGGGTATAAATGCTTAGACTTGTCCACGAGACGAATATATTTGTCTCGCCATGTCCTATTCGACGAGGACACTTTTCCATTCAAGGAACTCACATCTTCCCTGGACAGCGTTGGAACCACAGGTAGTAATACTTCCCCTGACTTGTTATTTACTTTTCCTCTTTTATCTCCATCACCCCAGGCCAACCCATTATCTCCTACCCCACCTTTACAGTCCCTTCATCAACCAAACACCATAGCATCTGATATTCCTAATCCTACTAACCTGCTCTCCACTCCTGCCTTACTTGATCCTCTAGCCACGGCAGCCCCAATACCTTTACAAATCTCTAGGCCTACCATTTCATCTTCACATGAGCAAGAGGTAGTACCAGTTCCTGAACTGAACCAATCCGTGCCAACTGATACTCACGGTGCTCCGTCTTCCACTCAACAGTCACTCCAACCTCAAAGAATGACTACTCGTTCACAATCTGGCATTCACAAACGTAATCCTAAATATGCATTGCATGTTAATATTGATCATTTTCTTGTTGAACCAACCTGTTATAGTCAGGCCTTCAAGCAACATGAGTGGAGGAATGCCATGGTTCAAGAGTTCAATGCACTACAGCGTTGTGGTACCTGGAAACTTGTTCCGTATCATCCGCAAATGAATTTGTTGCCTAACAAGTGGGTTTTCAAGCTTAAACAGCGTGCGGATGGCTCAATAGAAAGGTATAAAGCGAGGCTTGTTGCCAACGGATTTCATCAGAAGCCTGGCATTGATTATACAGAAACCTTTAGTCCTGTGGTAAAGCACAGCACCATACGACTTGTTCTTAGTCTTGCGGTTTCCAAACGGTGGCCTATTAGACAATTGGATGTACAGAATGCATTTTTGCATGGATTTTTGAACGAGGATGTGTATATGAGACAACCCGCTGGTTTTGTTGATCAGCAATATCCTAATTATGTTTGCAAACTACAACGGAGTATCTATGGCTTGAAACAAGCTCCTCGTGCTTGGTTTCATCGGTTCTCAGAATTTTTGCTTCAATTGGGATTTGAAGCGTCCACTTGTGATTATAGTTTGTTTGTTTACAATCACAGAGGTATTTACTTAATTCTGTTGATATATGTGGACGATATTTTGTTGACAGGAAATAGCTCACAACAAATGGGTTGCTTAATCAAAAAACTGGGAACTTTATTTTCCATGAAGGATTTGGGTCCACTACATTATTTTCTGGGAGTTGAAGTGCAATATATGAATGATCAGATGCATTTGAGTCAAGCTAAGTATGCTTTGGACTTGTTGAAGCGTACCAACTTTTTGGATGCCAAACCAATTTCAACTCCAGTTCCTTGCGGCCAGAAATTGAGTGCTTATGATGGTGAGCCACATGACAGTCCAGACTTGTATCGGAGTGTAGTTGGTGCGCTACAGTATCTAACCATCACCAGACCCGATCTTTCCTATGCTGTGAACCAAGTCTGTCAGTTCATGCACTCTCCAACAACTACGCATTGGACGGCAGTCAAGAGGATACTTCGCTATGTTAAAGCCACGTACAATTATGGTCTTCTGTACAAACCTGGTCTTTCACATCTCACGGCCTTTTCCGATGCGACTACGCTGGGAATCCTGACACTCGGCATTCCACTGGTGGTTTCTGCATTTACTTCGGCTCCAATCTTGTGTCATGGAGTTCTAAGAAACACAAAACGGTGTCTCGCTCGAGTTCCGAAGCTGAGTATCGGCAGCTGGCTTACACAGCTGCGGAACTATCATGGCTGAAGTCTCTTTTCTGTGACTTAAAGTTACATCTTGTTTGTCCGACCATTTGGTGCGACAATATCTCGTCCATTGCCCTAGCTTCGAATCCAGTTTTTCATTCGCGCACGAAGCATTTGGAAGTTGATTACCATTATGTTCGTGAAAAGGTGGTTCGTGGTCAGTTAATGGTGAATTATATTTGTTCTCAGGATCAGATTGCTGATTTGTTCACTAAAGGCCTGTCTTCTTTGCGTTTCAAATTTCTAGTTTCCAAGCTTTCAGTGGCTTCCCCCCCTGTCAGCTTGCGGGGGGATGTTAGACCAAGTCCTACTCCTACTCTGCCTACGGTTTCAAGAGTTTGTGATCAAGTCAACTTGCTGTCCACCAAGAGTTAGTGTTGGTTAAGACTCTTGTAAATATCTCATTCCGTGTAAATCTAAATGTGCTGTTTCTGGTATTGTTTGAATTTCTAATAGCCTTGTAAATAGGGATTTCAGTTCCCTAATGTAATCTTGAATGAAGTATAAATACATGCAGCCCTTACTGATTGGGGAATGCAATTGAGATCACATATCATTCTCTAAGACTTTCAATCCTGCCCTGTGGAACTTCATTGATCAACTCCAATCTTGCATCCATTTTGCGGTGTGGTTGTTGATTTGTCTCCTGACGAGGCTGAAATTTATGGTTCCCGTCGATCCTAATTTGGATGATCTGATTAGGATTCTGAATAGACTGGAAGCCATTGATGAGTGCTGATTGCCCCCCCTAGCTAATGCTCAGAGAGCCGAGAAAATGGTACAGAAGGAGCTACAGGTAGAAAGACGAAGAAAGTTGGACAAGAGAGATTGAGAGTTTTGGGTAGTGTGCGATTGGTAATTAATAATAATAATGTTGACTGAAAGTATTGTTTACAAGATCATAATAAATTAGTTGTGAGATTTAATTTCAACCATTAATATTGCATCAATCCAATGGTTTAAAATTTGTGTCAAATAATATTGCATCAATCCAATGGTTTAAAATTTGTGTCAAATGTTGTGTAAAAAATAGAAGAGCTGGTCCTAAAATCTCCCATTTTTGCAGATGACCTTATCCTCTCTCTGCTGAGGCATTTGTTCAACAAGCTATTTTTATGCTTTTTTTTTTGAGATATTTAGTAATATACCCATTCTTAGCACTAAAACTATAAATAAACCCTACATCATTTCATTTTTATAAACATACCCAAAAAAAACCCAAAAAATGACAAATTGTACTATTAAATTTAATTTTAATTATTAAATTACTTTGATACCCTATTGAGTGTTTTGGGCTTTTTTATGAAATTTTGGGTTGGGTTTGTTTTAAGAAATCAATGGCAATTTTGTAATTTAAAAGAAGTTAAAAGCCTTTTTGTTATGTTATAAATGAGCTTTGGGTGTGTTTATAAATTCTATTTCATATAGGGTTTTTTTATAATTTGGGCTCCTATATTGGGTATATTAGTGAATCTCCCTTTTTTTTTTAATAACTGAAATCCAACGCATAGAGGCAGTAGTGTGACAGAGAGGGTGCGAGAAGCGTCGAAGGAAAGAATCAATATTCAAAACTGAAATCCAAAATGGGCTTTTTTTTTTTGTCTAAGAGCAATAATATTTTATGGATAAAAGGAACATAAATAATAGTTCAAATATGAATAAAGTTCTATAGTGACCAAATACAACAATAAATTGAATTAATATGGAGAGAAATCAAGCACAACCCACAAACAGGAGATATTATACAATACTACTGTAGGGACGTTGTCACTCTCAGGCGGCGATGCCCCAGAGAAAGTAGTAGTGTCGAGTATTTCTCGTTTGCAACAATGGTGGTTAACGGGTGTTTTTACTTTCCAGTGATTACTGGATGTTAACGGCAGTACAATAAGTTGGTTGCTGATGTGTATAAGTTGTACACATGTCCAAATTTTATTGGACCGTAGTACCAATTAGCAATGCCAACTGGTACTACAGTAGTATTGTATAACTTCTCCACAAACAGATTAAAGTCAATGTTCAGCAACCAAAAGCATGCTCACTCAAACCTATACAAATCTGCCACGCAATGGTAGAAATGGCGAATTCGTAATTGAAAATAAAAAAAAAAAAAAAAAAAAAAAAAAAAAAAAACTAACTAAAACAAACAAACCGACCCAAAAGAATTCTAGAAAACTATTAGACAAACAAGGGGTGTATTCAATTAGGATTCTAGAGAGTTTAAAAAGATTTAAAAAATTCGGGTGTATTCAATTTGGATTTCTAAGAAGCATGACTCCACATAACTTCTAATTTGGCTAGCTGGAACATTATTGTTTTAATTTTGGTCATCTACAAATGGCATATTTATGCTCCATTTCTATTCATAAAAAAGGATGAACTTCAAATCTTATATAACAACTCCCAAAATACGCAGAACCACCTCTCCTTCCATTGCTTTCATTTATAAGTTCACTCATTGCTACACTTTATATTCTGTATGTGAAAGGTCGCTAGTGCATTGAGTCGCACCATAAAGTATGTCACCACCAAAAAGTTCAGCATGCCCTTAAGCAAACATACGTGCAGTAAGAGAAGCTTCCAAACATAATCTCATTAACAAATGTTGAACATTCGTACTAAACAACAAGGGATTATCATCCAATTTAGTACTCAGTTAATAAATCCCGTTAACAGTGTCGCTTTTACCTAAGAAATCTTTTTCTGAGTATTTTAAGAAACAAAAATTGTACCAACCTCTAGGTTTGCTCTACTGACGCATCTTCTACAAGATATGCAGTCGAATTCTGAGACGATTGATCCCCAGCACTTAGCGAGCCCATATAAACTTTTATTCGGTTCTTGTCTGTCAATGTTTACAATTACATTTCCTAGCTCAGCTGTTTCTCTATTAAATTTTGTTGGTATTGTCGCCAGGATTTCCTCATATGCCTCATTGTCTGGAAAATCTGTGTGACCAAAACAATTATGACCAAGACAAGTTTGAGCATGAACAAAAGGAGAGAAAGATAAGAGACTTACAAGGATTAATAATTTTGAGAAAAACATTTTAGTTAATAACATAGAACTTAAATTCAAAATTTTTTTTTAGACTGCATAAAACAAAACTTGAAATTATAACAGAGTGCAACTTCTATTTATATAATATGTATAATATATTTAATATTAGTACTATAGATGTCTATTATAACACATTATAAGCTTTCGTACTTTAAAAAAAAAACCAAGAGCTCTCTTCTATTTATATAATATGTGTGATAGATTTTATATTAGTACTATAGATGTTTCTTGTAAGCTTTCGTACTAAAAAATAAAATAAAATAAAATAAAATAACCCAACCCTTCCTCCAAATTTAGAGTTGGCTTCTCCCCACCTAAAATGGGTGTTTTTTCCATGAGCTTCGTCTCAGTTCTAGAGCTTCTGTCTACTCTTTGTTTCCTCTCCATTTCTATGCGAGTGTTTAAAAATGCGGAGACAAACATGCCGAGTACAAGTAAAGTATCAAATTGAAATTAATTACACTTCAAAATGGTTGTTTTTTTGTTGCTAAATTTAGAAAGGGGAAGGGGGAACTCACACACATAGTTACCATGCACATGAGAGCACACCAAGACCTAGACCAATCCAACACACCCTATTGGTCCTAAATTTAATGGTTGAGTTGAAATGCTTTATTAAACCTAAAAGAATAGCTAGGGTAGTAAACTTGTATTTATGCACCCAAGTTCGAATCCCTCCTTGTAGATTAGATCAAGTTCAAATATTTTTATTTTGGGCCAAAGTTAGGAAGGGAAAGGGGAGTTTTTTTCACACACAATGCAAGGTGTCATGAGGGACCACTAGTCTACCAATTAAGGCCCTTTTCCACTGGGATAGATCCCATTGACAATTCAAAAGAGCAAAGAAACCTAAAAAAAACCGTTAAACCTAAACTCAAAAATGTTGTGCTTATCACAACTGAAATCCTATACATAATTTCTATTTTTATACGGGAATATATGTGTGTGTGTGTGTGTGTGTTATAGTCAATATTGACAGTGACGAACCTACCAAGGCGCAAGGAGGTGTCCACCAATTGTTTGATTAAATGATTGAGCGAGTTATTCTTTGCTGCGCGTAGCGTGCATCCTCTTTTTTTAATTTTATTTATAATTCTTTTATAAATCCTAACCAAAATGACGTCATTTTGGACAAAAAAAAAAAAAAAAAAAAAAAAAAAAAAAAAAAAATTTAATTTGAAGAAAAAAAAGACGTAACCTGCCTATGACTTATAGCTTGAATTGAAGACAAAATCACCCTTGCATTGAAGGAGCTAGCCCAAGCCTTGCGTTGAATTGATGATAACTTGATTATTATTGATATGATAATAATCAAGGCATGGTACTCGAGACTTAAGGCCTCGTTTGGTAGGCTAGACTAAATTGGATTAGATGTATTACACTGGACTGGTTAGGATATGACTGGATTTTAAACAATTGTTTGGTGTAATAAACACCAAGTTGAGCTTGTAGGATTAGAAAAAAAAAAATAGAAAATTTTAAAAAAATACAAAAAAATAAAATAAAATAATGAATACAATTCTCAAAATTGCAATTTGACTAATCTACTAGTAAGAATCGCAAGGCTCCTCCTTCTAATCATATCTCAAGCTTGGCCAGATCGATTGGAAGATGCGATGATCTGCTATGCCGATGAGATAAAAGTGCTGTGAAATGGCAACGTCAGGTTGACTCGAGAAGAGAGAGAGAGAGAGAGAGAGAGAGAGAGAGAGAGAGAGAGAGAGGGAGTTCTCGCGAATCAGAGGAGGCATGCTTGCAAGACGACTTGGCTGGCTTCGAAACCCATGTATACCGATTGGTTCTGGAGCCCTTGCTATTATGGACTGGTGTCCAATAACCACATCCAATCCATGATACATTATAAGCCCACCAAACAATGGCTAGAATCCATGTCCAATTTAATTGAAAAAGTCTCATCCAGTCTAGCCCACCAAATAGGGC